TGACCCCAAAGAAGACATTATGAACTCCTTCCGTAATCACTTGAAATCATATGGTAGGGCCTTGTGCCGGATGGACAAATCAGCCACTGGTAACCCTTCTACTTCATTTGTGTCTACATCAGGTAATGCAATTTTTGCCTTCCATGTCTTCATAGCCACAGATTCCCCCTGGATCATTGACTTGGGCTTCTAATCACATGATTGGTAAGCCAAACCTATTCAGTTTTTATAACTTTTGTCAGAAAGGGACAAAGTGAGACTTGTAGATGACTCTTTTTCTTCTATTGCGGGTCAGGGATCAATATCCCTTCCTCAAGGACTTAACCTAAATAATGTTTTGCATGTCCCTCAACTTCCTATCAACCTTCTTTCTATTAGTAGTATCACAAATTCATTAAAATGTAGTGTAATATTTTTTCTTGATTCATGTATTTTTCAGGACCTAACTTCTGAGAGGATGATTGGTAGAGGAAGCTTAGTGTATGGTCTCTACACTCTCGACAGCAAGGTTGGTTTCTCGATGTCATCTTCGGAGTCTCATAGTCGGTCAAATAAGGGTCAAATTGTTTTGTGGCATAATCGATTAGGTCATGTGTCTTTCGAAATAATAAAGTCTTTGTTTCCATTTTTATTTAAGTCTTGTTCAATGTCAGATTTCCATTGTCAAATGTGTTAATTGAGCAAGCAATGTAGAACAATATTTTTTTCAAGTAATAAAAGATCAAGTTTCCCTTTCCATATTGTGTATTTTGATGTGTGGGGGCCTATTACCATAACTTCAGAAGGCGGGTATAAGTACTCTCTCACATTGGTTGATGATTTCTCCCGTTATACATGGGTTTTTCCATGCGTAGCAGAGACGAAGTCCCAAAGATTGTAAGAGATTTCCAAATGATGGTGTTTACACACCCCATTACCTAGTATGTGTCCTATGACCACATTTCCCCTCTCATCGTGCCTTCCTATCTGCAATTGATAGTATTCCCATACCCAGAAATGTGGCAAAACCTTTAAAATACCCTGAATGGATAGATGCTATGAAGGAGGAGATCAATGCCCTCCACAAGAATCAAACATGGGAGTTGGTGAATTTTCTAACAGGGAAAGACCCAGTGGGGTGTAAGTGGGTATTTACAGTGAAACACAAGGCAGACAGGATAGTTGAAAGGTACAAAGCAAGGTTGGTAACTAACGGGTACACCCAAGTTTATGTGCTAAAGGAAGTGAAAGTAAGGTGTGCAAGGTAAGAAAGTCTCTCTATGGTCTAAAACAATCTCCTCGAGCGTGATTCGGTAAATTTCATATGGAAGTTCAACAAGTGGTGCTCAAGTAATGTCAGTTTGGTCACACTCTCTTTGTGAAGTGATATCAAGAACAAGTGGTTGTGTTGATAGTGTATGTAGATGATATCATTATTATAGGAAACTAGAACACAAAAATATAAAAGTTAAAAGAACTCATTGTTTCTCAATTTGAAGTGAAAGATCTGGGCCCCCTAAAGTACTTTCTTGGAATTGAAGTTGCCTGCTCAAAAAGGGGCATTTTCATCTCTTAGAGGAGGTATATCCTAGATTTGTTATAGGATACAGGCAAGTTAGGTGCAAAACCAGCCGATACCCCTATGGATGCTGACCATAAACTAGGAAATTATGATGGTGAACCACTAACAGATGTAAAACAATTTCAAAGACTAGTGGGAATGTTGCTTTATTTGTCCATGACTCACCCTAACATTACTTACTCAGTTGGGGTCCTAAGCCAATTCATGCATTCCCCTAAAAGACAACATATGGAGGTAGCAGAGAGGATTCTTAGGTACTTGAAGAAGTATCCAAGAACATGATTACTATTCAACAAACATAATCATTTAAAGGTGGAAGTCTACATAGATGTTAACTGGGCAGACGCTATGGATGATAGAAAATCCACAAGTGGGTATTGTACTTTTGTAGGAGGAAATCTAGTGACATGGAGAAGTAAGAAGCAAAGTGTAGTGGCAAGGTCAAGTGTTGAAGCAGAGCATAGAGCTATAGCACATGGGGTGGCTGAAGAACCTTTTAAGAGAACTTGGGGTTACTATCCACAATCTTATGTCCCTCTACAATGACAATAAGACAATCATTAACATTGCTAGTAATCTAGTCCTACATGATAGGACCAAGCACATTGAGGTGGATAAGCATTTCATAAGAGAAAAATTGGAAAAAGGGAGAAATTTGTACCCCGTATGTCAAATCCAATAGCAACTTGTTGATGCTCTCACAAAAGGAGTGTTGTTAGTTTTAAATTGTTTTTTATTTATTCATGTTGTTACAATGTTGCCATCTAAGATTGTTGGCAGCATTTTCTTTTCTTTTATTTAGGGTGTGCCACCAAGGACCGCAATTTCTTATAATTGTTATAACACATTTAAATAAAAGAGAAGTTGGGCGCCGCCAACTATCATCTTTTGACCCTCACATCTTTCTCTTCTTCTTCTTCTTTTTCTTCTCTTCTCTCTCTTCTCTCTTATTCTTTTTCCTTGTATGATTACAAGAGGCAAGTCAAATTTGTCGGGATCATCCCAATTAAGTGGTTTGTGGAGAGGTTTAGCATGGTTAGATTTGATAGGTTAGATAGTGAGTCCGGTATGGAACCCACCAATTGTTTTTCATCTAATAATAGAGAAATTAAAGAAGAGCATTTGTATATTTCCTCTAGTATTTCACCCGAGAAATTGTTTTGCCCCAAGTTAGTCTCCTTTTAAGTGAGAGAGATGAGAAAGATCAACTGGAATTTGGCCACTCAAACGATTTGAACAAAGCTGGAGGATTTCCAAATCGGAGCAGTTGTTGAGTTCCACTAGAATCATGCCTGAAATGCGATTGTTGGATAAGGAGAAAGAATAAGCATTGATTTGAGGAAGTTGTAGGTTGCTAGAATCTCCCCATAAAAAGCATTTGATGTGAGGTTCAAATACCTTAAACCCAATAAGCTACTAAAACCTTTCTATACATCTCCAGATAGTGCAGTTTCTTGTAGTGCAATTATTTGCAGATTTGAGCTCACCTCAATCAAAGTCTGAGTGGCCGTTAAATGAACTTCTATCGTGTTTTTGGAGCTTTTGTTGAGGGATGAACAAAGATCCAGAGCTCAGATTCTGAATTATATTGATTCATCCCCCCTACGTGGCAAACCTGAAAGCTCGAGTAGCAACTCACTAGAGAGGTTCTACCAACTCAAATCAAGAGTCCTAAGATCCAACAAACTTCCAATGCTAGAAAGTATCATTCCTGAGAAACTATTACCACTCATTTAGAATAAGTAGCCTTTGTATGTTTCCTACACTCGAAGGAATTTCACCCTTAAATCTGTTGCCACTAAGATTCAAAGTAGTCAAATTGCTCAACCACATTAGCTCTTTCTACACAATGCCAATTATGTTGTTTTGCTTTAGGGAGTTAGGGGGTGTTCTTTTTCTGGATTTTGAGAGGGGGAAAAGTTGGTCAATGGGATTTTGATTCCCATTGACCAAGAATCCCATGTTCTTTTTTCAGATTTATGTGGTGATCAGGGAAAGTTTATTTTCCTGTGTATCACTTACCCGACCATCTCCTATGTGGGTAAATGGCTTCCCCACCTGGGGGGAAAATTGCCAACACTTGAATGTGACAAAAATACCCTTTTTAATAATGAATTTTTATGGCTAAAATGGTCATTGCCTTATTTACATTGGAAATAAAAGAACATGGGTAAATGCACTTACCTGGATAAATACATTTACCGGGGTAAGTAACTTACAGAAAAACGAATGCGGCCTTAGATTCAATATTTCCAACTCATACAGATTAGAGAAAGAGTTTGAAATCTGGCCAGAGAAGAGAAGAAATTTCCACCAAGAAATAACATCTTCAGATCCCTTAGCTCTCCTATAAATGAAGGAACTTCACCGGAAAAACGATTCCCTTCTAGATCAAGATCGCTTAACAAGCTGCACTTTCCAATCTCCACCAGAACAAAACCACTAAATGTATTGTTTGCCGGAATGCCAGAGTTCTTGCCACCGTTCCACAGTAAAAAATGCTAGTGTGTGGTGAGTGGCCGGCGGGATGCTCGGATCAGGGCTCAGAGGAGATGAAGACAAGAGACCGGAAGGGGACTTAAACTTTGAAAGAAGCCCTGCATTTTTTAGTTCTGTCTTTTTGCGGGTGATTGATTCAGCTAAGGGCTGAACATCTGTTAAAGTTGGTGTTTTTTTGAAATACCAACGTGGTCACCTGTGATTGATGAGTTCAGGCATTTGCATTCACGTGGCCGCAACCTAAAATTTTAGGGAGAAATACCAATCAGCCCAGATCAGAATTTACTAGGCCCAAAGTACAGGAGGAATGCATATTGACCGTGAATTGATGCCAAATTCACGGGGCAGGATGTGATTTATAGGGGGGAGAGGGCTGGAATTCAGAATTCTGCATCGTGTGTTTCCGTACTTTTCCCAAAATTTTAAAGTTTTAATGGTTTCTTTATTTGTTTGTGAAAAGAGATGTCAACCAAGAATTGGGCGGAAGAAATCAGCTTTGCCCACATCAACCTAATAAATGCTTCGGCAAATATCCTCATTTGGTGAGGATTGGCAGAAAAATGGTCTAGGCCAGGTTTTGAATGCATCAGCCCGATGGGTCGGTAAATGCATCCTTCGGTTCGGCCACGAGGGCCCTAGGTCCAGGCATAGAAATTGTGATTTGTGACCATTTATCAACCATCTGATCCACAATTTGTTTTTATCTCGATCGCACATCACGTATATCTTGTGAACAGAAACCTGGACCCACCAATACATCTACCTGGCCAAACCACGTATCAATCAGTCATCAGCACGATATTGTCATGGGCGGGCCCATGGTCCCAACACTGTTCAGTTTATCCGTTCTGATCCCAAGTGGGCCCAGGGCATCTGTCTACAGTCCAACTGGACCCAATCATATATTGGACCTGCCCAAGCCCAAATTACTTGGCACGAACTGCACGAGATCAGAATTCAGAATTTCAGATCAAGCTGAAAATTTCTCAACTGTAAACAGTGACAAAAGCTCTGAAAAAGGAAATAAAGGATAAAATTAAACCCCAGCTGTTTTGACTTTCCAGGGCTTTGATCTGGAAATTGTTACAGAGACAAAGAGGACGACGATCGCATTTGACGGAGGAAACCCTAACCTTAATTTTCTGTTTTTAATCTGAAGATGAGTGAAGAAGGGAAGAGTAGAGGATACGTTGGCGATCAGGAGCAGCAGCAGCACTATGGGACGTTTCAAGGAGTTCCGAGCTATTCACAGCCGGCCATGGGATTTCCACAGCCGGTTCCACCGCCGGGTGCGACTTCCCCTTCTGATCCTGCTTTTTACGCTCATGGCTATCAAGCCATTCCAGGTAGGAATTATATTCTCTGGGTTTGTTGCAATTTTTGGAATTGCTGCTTTTCTTGTAGGATCGTTGTTGAAAACCGTAAGGTATGGTTTATGAATTTACGATGATCTTATGATGAATGAGTTTAACGGTGAAGTATAACAACACCATGGTGGATTTATTTCTGAATTGTTGTGATTCCTTAATGTTATTATTATGGGACGAAACTATTGTTTTTTTTCCGGCATATTGAAAAAGTGTTTAAGATATACTGTCTCTTGTTTTTTTTTTGGACCTTTCTTTTGGTTTTCAGTTTGGATCTTTGAGTATGTTGTAAATTAATCTATTTGAATAAATACTTTCATGGCTTTTTCTAAAAATAATTGATTATCGATGACTTTATTTTTCTTACTTCCCACATCTGCACCTGCATTGGAATAATCTTTCTGCGTTTTTCTTCAACTGTAATAGGTTGAATCATACTTTTTGGATTCATCGTGCATACTTGTGACTACAAGTTGGATCACTTGAATCAAAGCTGATTTCACAGAAGGGAACAAGTTCTCTTGAATAAGATCTTTACTCATCTACTCATGCCTTGTTCTAACTATATGGAGTCTGCTATATGAATCATTTTCCGCTCTTCACTCTGTTCTGCCATATTCATTGTTAAATTATGGGCCCTTATATCCATTCTTTTTATTTTATGCCAATCTTTATAACATACTTGATTTGCTTTGATTCTATATTGAACCTTTTCATTCTCATCAATAAGATATTTACTCCTCAACTCAAGCCCTGTTCTAATTATATGGAGTCTGCCATATGAATCTTGTCCCACTGTCCACTCTATTCTGTCATTCATTGTTAAATTATGGGCCCTTATATCCATTCTTTTTTCCCTTTTCCTATCTTTATGACATGCTTGTTTTGCTTTGATTCCATTTTGAACATTTTCATTCCACTACCAAGTAACTTTAATGCCTTACCATTTCCCTTGGTCATTTCAAGGGATATAAGGGCCCATCATCATCATCATCATCCAAGCCTTATCCCAACTATATGGGGTTGGCTACATGAGTACTGTTTTGCCATTCCATTCTATTTAATGCCATATCCATTGTTAAATTATTGGTGCTTTCATCTATTCATCTAAATTTCATTTTCCTTCTACTATTAATTTGTTTTTAAATTGTTTGAATTTTCTCCTTTTATATTTAACCAGTTAATTCTTACACACTTATTTTTTTCTCACTTTTTCTTCCATGTTCTAATTTGATCATTTACTTACATGAATCTATGTTGTGAGGTTAAGTTTCCCCTAAAATAACTGTTGAATCCTTATACATCACTCATCTTGTTTTCTTAGTGAGGAAAAGTCTATTTTACTTGAATTCGGTCCACTTTTAAACATTATTAAATGTTCATTTTTACCAATAACTATTGAGTTTTATTAATTATACTGGAATCTGTATTTAAGAGTGTATAGGCAGTATGTGCATCTCTAAATACACATAAAGACAGACCTTTACTACTTTTCCTAGTTCCCAAAATCAATTTTTGCTTAAATCAGCTTTACCCTAGAGGATATTCACCCCAAACAGTGTCCTGTGCTTACTCCTTGTTGAGTTAGAGAATCAACAAGGGAAATGTCAAATTGGGTGTTAAACTAAAAATAGCTTCAGTTTCATTAGCGAAGGGCCTTGCTTTCCTAGTATGGTGTTACACATTTTTAAATGTTCATCTTTCTTCTTAGGGTTTGTATTTTCTAGCACTGTTGCAAATTCTAAAAATCATCTCTCTCTCTAAACCCAAATCATGTGTGCCTTGTTACCCTGCACTTTTTTCCTCACATGACCATTTAAATCATCTCCTATGAAAATCCTTTCTCCATTTAAAATTTCTTGAATTAATCCATGTTTTTCCCAAAGCTGTCTTTTAATGTTTTCTTGTAAACCCGCTTAAGGTGCATTAGCACTAATTACATTAATGCTTTCCTTTCAAAAAATCTATTTTATCTCCAGTTCTTTTAACATTTAGAATTTTATTTTTAGATCATTGTCTAATATTGTTGCTACTCTATTTCTATTATTGACTTCTCTTATATACCATAACTCACAGCTATCAATTTCTTTATCTTTTTCCTCTTCCGTTTAGTTTATTATAAGCATGTTATGTTAATCCTTATTCTTTTCATTGTGTATGCTAATTCTATGGTCTTGCTTGTTAATGTTCCTACATTTCAAATAGCTGATCAAATTCTTGTATCTTGTACTGACTTCTTTACCCATTTTTATTTGAAAAGTTGTGGGAACCCTTGCTCATTTCTCTTCACAACTGAACCTTGTTTTACTTCATTGCTTCTATGGAACATCCCAGTATGCCCTTCCAATAAAAAATAAAAAAGAAAAATCCTAGTATGTCCTAGTCCATTTATCACATACTCAGGTTAAGTTATAACATTTTCTGTCAAGGAATGCCTTGGCATGAGAATGAATGACAGTTCAAGATACATGTTCACAAGAGTTTGGCAAAAAAGTTTTGATGCTGGCTGCCAACTTGACACAACCATCATCCTTTATTTGGGCTTGGCACCCACATTGTGAGACATTTCCAATCCATGTTCCATAGACTATATATAACCTTCTTAACTTAACAAACGGATGTTACAAAGTTTAGTTTGTTGCTGTTGCCTGTTGGGTTGCATCTTGAGAACTTGGATCACTAGCCAACATGTAAACCATGAGCTGTTGAGTCAACTATGAAATGAGTAAACCGTCGTCTAACAACTACAGATTTATGTTAAGTATTTTGGTAAATGGATAACTCATATTTGTTCTCTTACTGTAGTTTACATAAATTAACAGATGGTACAAGCATTTTGGTAAATTTGGCAATATTAAATCTCTCCATTGATTAAAAAAAAGTAATTCATGACTAATTATTTCCCGCAAATTAGCTGTTCTGACACATGGTGTATTAGTGTCAATCATTTCCTTCATGCCTTCCCAATTTCCATTCAACTTTGAGTCAAAGGCAAAGGGAGAAACTTTTTGGGTTCTTTATTTTTTCCACTGCAAAACAAAACATACTTTCTATCTTTCAGTTCCTTGCATCTTATTAAAAATCCTTTTATAGCTTCAAAAAGATTCAAATATAGATATGTGCTCTCATCATCTACTAGGGATGAAAAACTAGTCATTGCTTATTATATAGTTTTTCTGTTATGTGTGCACATCTTGGGATTAACTACTCTCAGGGCTAAGCTACCTATTCTTGCTTCAAGGACTGAGATTGGTTGGTTCAATGGGTATGATAATTCTACCAAATTTAACTCGGGAGCAAATGCAACTTTTATTGCCTTGGTTCCTCAGAAGAAGGACGCTCTCCAACCAAAGGATTTCAGACCTATAAGCCTGGTGGGAAGCATGTATAAGATCATCTCTAAGGTCCTAGCACTAAGATTAAAAAATATTCTCCCGTCTCTAATCTCACCGTATCAAGGG